CCTCCCAAGTAGCTGGGATTACAGGCATGTGCCACCATACCCAGGTAATTTTTGTATTCTTGGTAGAGATGAAATTTTACCATGTTGGGTGGGATGGTCTCGATCTCCTGACCTTGTGATCTGCCCTTCTTGGCCTCCCAAAGTGCTGGGATTATAGGCACAAGCCACCGCTCCTGGCCCTTGTATGTACCTTTTCAATAGGGTTATTATAGTACCAGCAATATGTGCCAGACACATTGCTACATGCTATATCCTGAATATATGAAAAAATTTTATTGATCAATCAATAAGAAAAAAAGAGAACATCTTTTTATATAAATGAGCAAATAACCAGAACAAATGTGAAAAATGCACAAGAGGAACTATAAATGTAATAGAATTTCCAGAATTAAATCATTTCAATCTCTTTAGTTAATTCTGGAACTGGTTTGAATATTATTTGGGAGCCATGCACATATATGTGTTTGTAATAGTCCCTATTTGGGGGAAGAGTTTCATTTGTTGCTTTTTTCAAGTAGATCTTTACACATTTGTGACCTAAAGATGATTTAGTATTTACAGATATAGTACTACCTCTCTAAAGCCTTTGTAAAATATTTTGTCCTTTTGAATGTTTCTGAATTCAGATGGACACTAAGATCCTTTTGGAGCATACCTCATTTTTAGCAGGGGTTCTCAATTTATACATTTTGGTTGTCACCAACTGCTAAGAAATGGAGCAGTGGATTTTCACAGTCAGAGGTTCTTGGAGACTTGAAAGCACTATTTTCCTATAATTGTGCCGTTCAATATGATGGCCACATGCCATATGTGGCAACTGAGCACTTGAAGCATGGCTGGTGCCAATGAAGATGTGTTGTAAGTGTAAAATCCACATTGGATTTTGAAGACTTACTATGAAAAAAAGAAAATATCTCTAACACTTTTTTTTCTATTGATTATGTGTTAAACTAATAATTTCTGGATATACTGGATTAAAAAAACCATACTATTAAAACTAAACTTATCTATTCCTTTTTACTTTTAAAATGTGACAAATAGACTGGGTGTGGTGGCTCACACCTATAATCCCAGCAGTTTGGGAAGCTGAGGCAGGAGGATTACTTGAGCCCAAGAGTTCAAGACCATCCTGGGCAACATAGGGAGACCCTGTCTCTACAAAAAAAAACCAGATGTGCTGGTGTGTGCCGGTAGTCTCAGGAGGCTGAGGCAGGAGTATCACTTGATCTGGGGAGTTCAAGGCTGCAGTGAGCCATGATCACACCACTACATTCCAGCCTGGGCAACATAAGACTATGTCTCAAAAAAAAATGACTAAGAGAAAACTTAAATTACATATGTGGCTCACTTGATGTTTCAAATAAATAATGCTGTACTTAAAAAAAAAAAGCTGGTAGATGGTGGTGAATGATTGAGGGGAGCTTGAATGAACGCCTATGACTCCCCTGCCTTCAGAATCTTAAAAGTGTCCCTGAGACAGGCCACAGAGGGTTTGGATGCCTGCAGTATCCTCCAGCTTATCTGTTTTCACTCTGGACCCCTCACTCTCTTTTTCCCTCCCTTGCCAGAGAGATCTTTCTAAAAAGCAAATCTCATCATGTCAATCCTTGCTTCAGTGGAGCCCCATCACCCTGTGGCCAAAGCCCTGACTTTATTGCCCTGTTCAGCCTTGCCCACCTATCCAGCCTCATCTCATGACTTTCTGCTTCCTTCCCCACCAGCTAATATGTGTTGTTATATTCTGCATTATATTCATTATATGAAATATATGCACAACATATTTTCATAGTAAAAGACTAAAAAATACATAATACAAAAGATAGAGTCCACATTTATCTTTTAGGCATGTCAATGCCCAAACACCATCCCAGCTATGTAATCAATCACTGTCAACAGTTGGCCTGTGCCCATCCAGGGCCCTCACCCTACATATACAGACCTAATTCTGTATCTTTGCATAGCATTCATCTCTGTACCCACTATTCATCAACATTTAGCTACGTTTGCTTCAAATTTTGTGTGCTTCATCCCAGGCCCTCTACCTTCCCTCTTTCCCTGGAGGTAATCACTCTTCTGTGGTTGATTTAGCCTTAACATCTGTAGTTTTTACATTTTTATTACATATATATATATATATATATGACTATAAACAATAGAGTATTATTTTGTGTGTTTCTATACAGTATTATATATAGCTCCTGTAACTTGGATTTTCTTTTTCTTTTTTAGCTTTTAAAAATTACTATATAGTTCTATATGATCTTCCACTATAAAAATGAATGTAGTTTCATTTAATCTACTTTCTTATCAACAAACATTAAAATTTGTCATACTTCTTCCAGTTCTTCACATGTGCCATATTCTCCTTTGTTTACCTCTTAACTCTTGATGCTTTTTATCTTTTATATAACAGTTTGTATAAGATTGGAATGATCTGGTTTTTGTTTGTTCTTTGGAAAGTTCAGTAGAATCCATTAGTTAAACCGTCCAGACTGGATATTTTCTTTTATTTCTTTATTAATTATAGGGCTACTCAGGCTTTCTATTTCTTCTTGGGGCAGTTTTAATATGTTATATTTTCCTAGGAACTTCTGCATTTTCTTTAAATTTTCAAATTTAATGCTATAAAATTATTGATAACATTCTTATTGTAGTTTTTATTTATTTGTTGAAATGGGGCCTTCTTATGTTGCCCAGGCTAGAGTGCAGTGGTGTTATCATGGCTGACTGCAGCCTTGAACTCTTAGGCTCAAGTAGTCCTCCCACCTCAGCCTCCTGAATAGCTAGGATTACAGGCTCATGCCATCATGCCTGGTTAATTAAAAACATTTTTTTTTTTTTGGAGAGTTGGTTTTGCTATGTGGCTCAGGCTGGTCTGGAACTCCTGGCCTCAAGCAATCTTCCTGCCTTGGCCACCCAAAGCACTGGGAAGTTTTAAATTTTAATTGCTATTGAATCTGTAGTTATGTAACCCTATTCATAACAGTATTTATTAGTGTTCTTTCCACCCCTTTTTGAACTTGGCCAGTATTGTCTTAATGTCTATCTTATCTTTTCATCTTCTGCCTTTTTAGCATGGTTTTCCTTTGCCTTGTCCTACCCCCCCCCCCTTTTTTTTTTTTTGAGACGGAGTTTCACTCTTGTTACCCAGGCTGGAGTGCAATGGCGTGACCTCGGCTCACCGCAACCTCCGCCTCCTGGGTTCAGGCAATTCTCCTGCCTCAGCCTCCCGAGTAGCTGGGATTACAGGCATGTGCCACCATGCCCAGCTAATTTTTCGTATTTTTAGTAGAGACGGGGTTTCACCATGTTGACCGGGATGGTCTCGATCTCTTGACCTCGTGATCCACCCACCTCGGCCTCCCAAGGTGCTGGGATTACAGGCGTGAGCCACCGCGCCCGGCCCTACTTTTCCCTTTTCTCATCACCCGTTGAGTACTTCTTCTGTGTTACATCTCAGAGAGGCCTCATTTCCTCTGGGAGGCCTTTCTGGCTCCTCAAACTTTGGTCAAGCCCCTGAGGCACTTTCCTCTACCATTTAAAAAGAAGCAATTTGCCATGTTGTAATTTTTTGAAGGGGAGGAGGGTAGATCTGAATGTCCTACTGTAAGGACATGAAAGCAGGAACAGAATTTCTTGTCCACTGCTGCTCTCTAATGTCTGGCACCATGCCTGACATATAGTAGCTGCTCAATAATATTGGTGAGTAAATTAATGGGTGGGCTTCCCCAAGTGCAGACCCATTCTCCAGAGGTGAGGACTTTTTTAAAGGAGGTCATTCTTAACAGGACTGCTACAAAGAATGTAGCAGTGACTGAAAAATTGTACCAGCTGGCCATTTCTGAGGTTCCATGAATTTTTTTTTTTTTTTTGAGACAGTCTTGCTCTGTCACCCAGGCTGGAGTGCAGTGGCACGATCTTGGCTCCCTGCAACTTCTGCCTCCCAGGTTCCAGTGATTCTCATGCCTCAGCCTCCTGAGTAGCTAGACTACAGGTGTGCGCCACCATGCACAGGTAATTTCTGCATTTTTTTTTTTAGTAGACACAGGGTTTTGCCATGTTGGCCAGGTTGGTCTCAAACTCCTGACCTCAGGTGATCTGCCCGCCTCAACCTTCCAAAGTGCTGGGATCACCGGCACAGCACCCAGCAAACCTTTTGGTACCTCAGTGACTAAAGCCCCAGGAAAAGTCCAAGGCAGATGCTTTTTAGCAAACATGACAGACATCACATGTTTTCAGAGTTGCTTTTCAGCAAACATATTGACAGACATCACATGTTTTAGGGGAGTAATTTATCCATAAAAAGATTGAAAAAGGTATTCCTGTAGGTATATTGGCAGCTGCAAAATTTGATTCAATTTGTGAGACAGAAATAAGGTGCTTCTGATGTGTGGAGTCTCTTTGTGCTGGCTTGTCTTAAAGCTGCCTCTATCATGTCTAAGGAAATTGATTCATGTTGAGAGGTTAACAGGTGAGGAAAACAGTTTCAGCTTGTTAGGTAGGGGCTAAATGTCCTGTTATTGGTTCCTCTAAAAATCTGGAGCTCAAATGTGCCCTTGTTGGAACTCTCCAGCATGTGTGTGTGACAAGGGAGAATTCCAGGCTGAGCTGAAGCTATACATCCCCTGATAGTGTCCATGTGGGAATTGTGTCTGTGTGAAAATTCGAGATTGGGAGTCTGGTCTGACTTTTTGATTGCATCCAAGTTGCATGTTAGATTTTATTTTATACAGATGAAGAGCTATTTTAAGGGACTCTGGGGCTTTCCTGCTGGGGAACTGAGAAGGAGTTTGGAGTGAATTTGACTGCTGAAGATTGCAGAGTTGTTGAAAACTCCAGCCACCTTGTTTGTCTGGGCCATTTCTTGAGTCATCTGTCTTTTTGATAAACCTGCATTTGAAACCGGTGACTTCCTCTAAATATCCAGCCACTGAATAATGAATACATTGTCTTTTTTCTTCTTCTAGGCCTAAACGGCAGCGGCAAAACAACTTTCCCATGTTTTCCTCTCCTAAAGCCTGGAATTTCAGAGGGGTAAGTGCTGCCCTGGGTAGCCCCTGCTGTTAAATGTCCTATTCCGGATACATGCTCTGGCCTCCAGAAAGGACGCTGTCAGGATTGGTTTTACTGATGAAAGTTTCCATCAAGAAATTCATTGTCTTGAATTTCCATTAAGAGTTTCAATCCACTGTCAGCACTGCTTTTACTGATGAAAGTTTCCAAATGCTTTACCACTTGGGAAAGTCACATTTGAATCAGTGGTTGTGGGTTAAGTAGAAACTCCAAGTGGCAGTAGTCCCAGCATTTGGGGAGGCCAATGTGGGAGGATTGTTTGGGACCAGCCCAGGCAACATGGCGAAGCGCCCCACTCTATAAAAAAAATACAAAAATTAGACTGGCATGGTGGCATGTGCCTGGAGTCCCAGCTACTCAGGAGGCTGAGGCAGGAGGAGTGCTTGAGCCCAGGAGGCAGAAGTGGTGGTGAGCTGAGATCATGCCACTACACTCCAGCCTGTGTAGCAGAGTGAGACTCTGCCTAAATTTAAAAAAAAAGAAAGAAAGAAATTCAAGTTGCCCAGTAAGCTTCTGCTGACAATCACCTGCCCTGAAGTTCTTGGGCTGCGGGAAGCATCTTGCAAAGAAGCCAAGAAGTGTCAAAGTTGCTGAGGCAGGCATTGGGGCAGTTTTTTTTGGAACCTGGAGGGAATCAGTGTACAATGAAGGAGAAAAGAACTCAGAAATGTACAGTTTATTAATATGTAGATTTATGCCTTCACAGGGAGCTCTGTTTTCCAGAAGGAGAAGTCTGTAAGCTTTAAACAGATTTTAGGAATCATAAAATTTGACCAAGCACAAAGCAATCAACCATGCTTGGGAGATATAGAAGTATAGGAAGGGTCAGATTGAACTTCCTCCTGATGCAGGGTTGTCTTCCTCGGCATAATAGTAATCTAATAATAATAGCCACAGTGTGTGGAGCTCCTACTGTGTGCTAAAGTAAGTTCAACGCTAACCTCAGGAGCGAAATTCTTTCATCTTTAGAGACTGCCCTGAGCTCTTTTCTACCTCCAGGCCTTTGCACATGTTCCTTCTGCCTAGAGCACTCTCTCCTCTGCCCAGCGCCACGCTCCTACACACACTGCTCCTCGCCCACACCCTTTATCCATTGGGTCTCAGTCTTGACATCACCTCCTCTGGGAAGAATCCCTCATGACTGCCCCCTGAATCTAAGCTCCTGAATCTCCGATGCACCCCTGCAGTTTCTTACCTTTGTGCTTTTTAGCCCTTACTGAAATTTAAGATTGGAAGACTCAGGCATGAAGAGTGTGGCTTCCTTGTCTCTCTCTCTTGTTCACTATTGTATCTCTGGGCCTAGCACAGTGCCTGGCACATGCATGCTTAATCAATTGGTTAGATAAAAGAATGGAATGAATGAATACCTTTCTCACATCCATCTGACACAAAATACCTTTCTTGCATCCATCTACGTGTTATCTTTAGATTGGGTTTCCAGTTCAGATCTTTAGTCTTTTTAATACTATTCTGACTGGTTCTGTTCACACTTTAAAATCCTGTATAGATTTCAATAATTTTCCCCAAATGTCTTATTAAAAATAAATTTAGATCATGAAACTATTTTAGCTCAGGTTACAATATGCTTTTTATTGAGTACAAAGAGAAATGTGTTGACTTCTGAAATAGATGTGCATGTTTTACTAAATGCAAGTCATGCGCTTCCTTAGTCATTTATGGTTTTGTGGATAGGATCTCCATTTCTCAAAGTGTATCCAGTTGTATGATCATAACATGAAGTAAAAAAAGGCTTGTGTGGTCAGATCTATTTGGGACATACTGAGTGTATTAAACTAAATATGCTCACTACTGGAGGACTTCTCAGCGTCTTTGATGTGTTGATGTATGTGGAGACTCCATCAGGAGAATTGGTGGCGTTTGTAGCATTTCCCAAAGTCACTGATCATGAAACCCTTTGTAGACCAAACACATTGTACGTACTTTGGAATAATTGACATTAACGGTCGATTTTGAGCTATAGAGAAATTAGATCTCTTGTGAGCAAGTTAGCCTTTTTGAAGGCCTTTGTTTTCAGTGTTTGCCCTATCAATCCTCCCTTCAGTGTTGCTCTCCTCCTGCTCCAACGATGGTCATTAGCCAAGGCTTGTGGGTACATGTGGAGTGACCAAACATCCAAGTTTGCCCAGGGACTGTCCTGGGTTGAGCCCTGAAAGTCCTGCACATCAAGAAACTCCCTGGAACCAGGCTAACTGGGACAACCGATTACCCCACCTATGGCCACAAGACCTCTTCAACTGTTTTCCCTTGAAAAATGTTCTGTGAATTTTTTTAGCACAACTCTGGTTTACAGAACTTGTTAGATACATACTTGGTTTAAGTGACCCTCTGTTGGCCCCATCCTTACCAAACTCTCTAAGACAATACTCACATTAATTTTCTGGGTACCATGGCACACACCTGTAATTTCAGGTACTCAGGAGGATTAGGCAGGAGGATTGCTTAAGCCCAGGAGTCTGAGTCTAATCTGGGCAACATAGTGAGACTCTGTCTCAATAAATAAATAAAATAAAAGTAGTAATTCACTGAAGAAAAAAAAAAACCCACAAACCCTGACCCTGACTAATTGCAACCAAGTTGTTTCAGAATTCAGTGCAATGCTGCCTTCAGGTTGAGCCCTCAAATTCTTAGCCAGCTCACAAGATTTTCCCAAACAGCAAAAGTTGTGTGTTAGGTGATTAAGCCATTTGTGGTGTTTTATCTTGATCTCCTGTCCTTGCCTTGATTTCTTCTGGGCCCTGAGGCTTATTGGTAAAGTTAGACAAACTGACATCAAGATATACCAGAGGGAGAAAGTTCAGGGCCTGGCCAAAGGCCAGATTCCTCTTTGGCCAAACTGATCTCTCTTTGCCTCAGAGTATAATCCACAGTGACATGGTTGAGGACTGCGGAAGGGAACCCAACCCAGTGGAAACACCCTCACTCCCAGCCAGGAGGCACTTTGTAATTGTCATCATGGTAATTAAAATTGAAGAATGAGAAGGATACAGAATGCCAGGATGAAGACGTGTGAGGCATCATCTAGCTGACACATCTTCTGTAATGAAATCTGACTCCCAGCCCTGTTAGACTGGGCTGTGCATGCTATTCTAGGGCAGGGTATGCTTTTTGTGAACACTCTGCTTTCTTCTTTAGAAAGGAAGGTTTCAGAATCTCCATGCTAGAAAATTTTCCACATTTATATATCTGTTGGAGAAAACCATTGTATTATAAGCATTTGCGATTTCATTCCTCTTTAGCTTGGAAAGAAAAGGGATCCAGGCCGGGCACAGTGGCTCATGCCTGTCATTCCAGCACTTTGGGAAGCTGAGGCAGGAGAATCACTTGAGCCCAGGAGTTCAAGACCAGCCTGGGCAACAAAGCACGACTCTGTCTCTACAAAACAAAAACAAACCCAAAATTAGCTAGGCATGGTGTCCTGTGCCTGTACTCCAAGCTACCAGGGAAACTGAGGTGGGAGGACCGCTTGAACCCAGGAGTTCAAGCTGCAGCGAGTGATGATTGTGCCTCTGCACTCCAGCTTGGGCAATGAAGAGAGACCTTGTCTCAAGAAAAAAAAAAAAAAAAAAGGATCCGATGTTTGTTCACTGAGGTCCTAGGCACTTGTGAATTTAAGGGGATGGGGCAGAAGAAGAGGTGATGGTGAAAAATGATTTGAAAAAGGCAAGAGAAGAAGGAACCACATTGCTCTAGAGGAGAGGTACAGTGGGAGAAGCTTGTAGGCAAGATCTGGGTGGCTGAGGAGCAGACTTTTTGGGAAAAGAGAGATTTCAAAATAACTTTAACCAAAGTCTTGCTGAGTGAGTTGTATTGCACCCCCATCATCTTTGTCTCTCCTGGAAACATTCCCTGCAGACCCCCATTAGTCCTCAGACATTAGCAGTTGCATTTGTGTTTTTCCTTTTTTTTTTTTCCACTGGAGTGTTTAGCTATAGAGAGGCTCAGAAAAGGCTATTGACACTCAGATTACACATCCCCTCTCCTTACCAAGTGGTTTAGCCCTTTCCCAGATTGTCATCTTCATTAATTGCAGGGTGCATTCTGCCCTTCAGTTCCCATGCTTGTCTAAGGAGACAGAGGCCCTGGGTGTTACAGACCCTCCAGGACTTCCCCACCCTCCTGAGCAAGGCGTAGTGCTGTGCCCACCATTCACCAGACCCACAGGTGCTGCAGATGGATTCACCAAGAGAAGCAGAGAGAATGGTTTGTGTTGGAGTGGACATGGAAGGAACAGTAAGAGAAAACCATTGCAGAATGGGAGGAATGAGAAGGCTGAGGGAGGAGGGACCCTGGGCATTGCAGGGTGTCTAGCTGTGAGGCAGCTTCTCCATCAGGTACTCCTGCATATCTGCTCCCATTTGGTTGGGGCAGTGCTGAGCTCAGAATTCAGAATTTCCACTCTTTCTTGTGAAAATATTTGCTGCAGCACCTCACTGGGGTGGAGTGGAGGCACTGAGACTCAAGGAGGACACACATCCTGGAAGTGCGAAAGTCTCCGGGCACAGCTCCTGCCATTGTCAGTGAACTAGGAAATGCTTAACCAGGACCTGTTGTGAACAAGGCCTTGTTTCAGGTGCCAGAACTGAGGTTTTAATTAAATATGGACCAAATTTCAGAGTTGTTTTTGTCTTGTCTCCTTCAGTGCCTGGTCTTTACTTTTGTCTAGTCCATTTGGAGTCCTAAGACTCTAGGGCTTAGAAGGAAATTTGGACATTGTAGCCCCAACCTTTTAATATTTAGTTGAAGAAAACAAGACCTTGTATATTAGTCAGGACTCTGGGTTATAAGTGATAGAAACTCAATTAAAACTAGCTCAAGTCTACAGGGAATTGGTTGCTCATGTGACTGAGGGAAACTGAGGTGGGTAAGCTTCAGTCACAGCTGTTTCCAGATGTACCCATTTTATCAGCTTTGCCACTCTCTGGGTTTGTCTTCTACTACTA